TGATGTGGCAAAATAAAGTGTGCCAAAGACCGATGAGAAGATTTGTGCGTTATGGCCAAGAGTTGTTACGGCCTCGCAGCGATGAGGAATGAGATTTGAGAGATTTGTCAGAACAATACTGAACAATCTGAAACCCCTACAAAAATAACTGAAACAAAAGCGCCGTTTTCGTCTCGCTAATTACGTTTACATTAATAGCTAATTTGCTGCATTGTTTAATTTGCAGCAGAACGTTTGTTGATCCTTTTCTCCTGAGAGCCTAAGCATAACATATTTAATATATTTCATTTTCCTTGAAATATTTTACCGAATATTATTAAGTGGTTTTATTTCAAATGAAATAATAAGTAAAACGAAATTGGTGTTGTACAACCGATTCATTTTATGATGATCTACCATACTACATGATAATCAATGACGTCATCTTACCAAAAAATCAAAAGACGTAGAATAAGGATTTATAAAAGCTTAGCATACTTATTGGCAAAACGTTTTCTTTGTTTTTTTTTCGCAGTCGCGCCGTGCCGTTTTCGCGTTTTAGTTTTCCGTGTTCCTACTTCCTTTGTCCTTAACTTATCCTGTGGTTCCAGAGTCCCTGTCCTTTCCATTTCCTTTTAAATATATTTTTAATGCTCATCCCTATCCCCCAGTCCTAACAGTTTCAAATTGTATTGCAATAAAATGTTTTGAATTCTTCACATATAACCTATCTACCTTCGTTGGTACTGTTGGTAGCCAGTGACACATCTAGGCAGGTAAGTAGGTACCTACCTGCTTTCCTGCTGTCTTCATAAAGCATACCTAATGAAGTTGTCAAATTTGTAGCACATTTTCAACACTTTCATATGGTGTCAGTGTGGCATGAAGCCTAGCTAGGTTCATTATGTTCAGGGTTCAATTCAGAAGAGCTCCGCATAACTCACATAAGAGACAGACGGGGGCTTTAAATGGGGTAGATGGCCTGATGACTTAGCTGGAATATGGCCAAAATTAAATTGACAACTTTTAGGTAAAAGGTGGTGATTTGGGTTAAGGGGCGTTTGTTGAAGTCAACTACTGGGTTATTTTGCACCCATTAAATGAAACTTCTGCTCCAATTCTACCCATTGAACCTCAATATCATGATCCACCTGTCCATCACTAGGTATCCTTCCTTATTACATAGAAACTTTGAATGGCATGGCAATTTATAATTTTAAATGACAATATTTTTATGTTTCTTCTGTAGGTAGGTAGGTAGGTAGGTAGGTAGGTATACCAGACTGCTATGGACACTTTTCCAAGTTGGTGGGGCAAAAAACCTAATGTATATCTTGGTTTGAGTCGTTTGATTGAGTTGATTGATTCCTTTCATTGTCGCGTTTGAGTCGATTGAATCAATTCCCGAAAACTGCTCTGACTTGATTGATTTGATTGGTTTCCCAAATTTGTCGTGATTGAATTGATTGCTATTGATTGAGTCGTATACAACCCTGCTCGTAACAGTTCTAGCCAAAGCAGGCCACCCAGCTGTCTTCGTTGGGATATATAGGCAGTAGGCACATGGAGTGCAGAGCAAATAGGCACAACTCGGCCACGTGGAGTGTCACCTGTGCGCCGTGGCCATCGATATCTTCATATACGGGCTGGGACCACACTGTTGACCGTTCTGCGAAATGAAACGTCTTCTTTCTTGCTCCACACATTCAACGGTAACGTTCGTTTCTGTGACGGAAGTTATAATATCGTTTCACCACTGACATTTGATCGAGTGATGCAATTTCGCGATATCAACACCCCACTGATACGGAAATCTGCACACGAAAAGAAATCAGTGCCTGGCACACGAATATTTGTACTGATACGTGTAGTTATATAATGTGGGTATGTTCAGTACTGATGCGTGCAACAGCTTTTGCACAATAAGGAAATAACCTGTTCTAATTGGTCAAATAATGCCAAGTAGCTTCCGTCGTTAGCGGTTCCAGCACAGCACTGCGGCTAATTTACGGAATCGACTCACGATGCGATTAAGGAGCTTCCGTTCTGCACCACAACCGTGACCAATTACCACACAATCCACAAATCACTTTATAACGCCACCTGGCCAGCCTTTCCCAGCAGTCTGACTCTACCAGCCGCTCAGGGGGCTAGGAAACCTGTTAGCAGGACAGCCGAACAGTAGGGCTAAATTAGTCAGAAGTAGAACAACTAGAGGATCGCAATCATACGAAGCGGGTCGTTCCAGTTCGCTGCTCGTTTCGCTGTCAGTGTAGGATGGAAGGACGAGAGGATTGGTGCCATTGCTAGAAGTTCTTCGATCCTAGTAAATGGTGATGTTACTACAAGGTGATAAGGTGATGTTAAAAGGTTATAAACAGCAAAACTCATAAGAAATTGCAGCTGATCGCATTATTTAAAATGGCGTCAAAATGCTAATTTAAGGCAATAAAACTATGATTAATTGCTTAAAATCAAAGAGTTAGTTGGGTTTTCAGAGCATGACGACATCACCGTAACAAAATCATTGATGAAGAAAGAAAATAAAATCTAACGAGCACTTCCCACGATGCAAGGATATCATCTATATTATAGACGAGCATAGTTACTCATCAGAACACATCATTTCAGTAAATCATACGAGCACTCGAGCTGAAAACAAGCATCGAGTCACGAGAGTTTTTCTAAAGACGTGATAGCCGGTTGTCACGAAACGCTGATATTTTGCCATCAGAATTATCTTATAGCCAACAAATAATCAGTGGCCGAACAATTACTGGGTCGGCATTTTGGGAAGTCCGACATTCTTGCACCGCAGTATCGCTGGTTTGGGCCGTTCTGATGTCGGTTCACCAGGATCTGATTATCGACGCTGAGTCAGTGAGCGTCCGTGAGAATCAGATCGATATCAGACCTTAAAGCTCCCGGAGCCTAACTGGGCTGTTGGAGAAACCGCACCAGCTGAAGCTCCTCGCAGCATCCGTATCCGCATCAAAACGTTTCGGGGCATCCCCGTTCCATTTAGGTATTTCATATCCTGGGCATACATTTTCGGAGCATCCTCTCTTCACGTGTGTCCGAAATTTTAGTCGATATGATTTAGCTCATCACATCGGTGAATCTTTGTCTGGCCTATCGTCTAACGACTGTCTGACCCACTAACATGCTTGGACGAAAGCTAAAATAGTGCAGCAAAGGTCGATGCATCAATAACCGAAAAAGTGCACAATTTACTTCCTGGAAAATGCAACTTTAAAGGGACCCTCCCACCTTCAAAAAAGTTTATGAATTGGCATGAAAGTGATGTCGCTCGGTTCAGAAAGAGCGAAAACGAATATCTGCTAAATTTCACCGAAAAATATTCACCGGTTTTCAAGATATTAGACTTTTACTTTTGTTTACTTTTTTTGGGATCTCCGCTGTTTCTAGCGACTTTATTTAAGAAGTGCGGCGTTTGCGGCAGATGTTGCGCGCAAATAGCATATACCACCGCGTGCTACAAAACGTTTTAGTCAAACATTTAAAAATCGTTAGATATCTGCGCTGACGTCACACATTCAGAGGGGTATTCCTAAGCATTAGCCCCTCTGAATCAAAATGCTGCAATTTTGAAATTGAATATTTCCGATTTAAGGCATTTCTCGATGTTGTGAGTGCCGAAACCGGTAATTGTGAGCCAGGGACCCCATTTTGGCTATCTCAACTCAAATCTAATGTTAAGGTGGGAGGGTCCCTTTAACCCGCGCACCGACGGGGGGGGCGGATATCCGCCCCCCCTGAGGTTTTTCGCAAATAGCGGGAAAACCGCGGCGCGTAGCGCCGCGAAATTTGGTATGACTATAACCTCATCAATTTTACACATGGTGTGCAAGTTTGAACCTCCTACCTTTTAAGGTCAGGTCACCAGGTCACTTTGAATGACCCAACCTCAAGTCACTTTTTTGCAACTTTGTCACCGTGCCAGAGCTACAGTAGATGTCGGAGGCCTTTGAAAGTCGCAGGATATCATTAGGTCATTAGTAGCTACAATTTGTATATCTCGGAATTTTGATATCGGTGACCTAAGGTCAGGTCAATTTCGCGACCTCCCCATTATAAGTCAATGGGGGAAAAATCAACTCCCTGTTTTTACCACTAAAACGGGTCGGAATGGCCCCATATACCATACATGACTTCATATACCATCAACCTTCACTACCTTGAGGTCTGTTTTGCTGTTGGGCAGCTGTGAGGTCATGTGACGTCATCAAAGGTCACCAAAGGTTTTTGGCCAATAACTCCGTACAGGAACAAGATACAGACGCGTGGATGGTCTCATTGTGTTCAGCTCGTCAAGACGCATCGAATGATATACATGATGACCTCGAGGTCACGTGACCTGAGGTCAACCTTTGACCTTGACCTTTCGAGGTCAACATATATATCATTCGATGCGGATTGACGAGAGGATCACGATGATGCCCTTAGTTTGTTCCTATCTTGACTAATTCGAAAGTTATTCGAGAAAAACTCTCCATATCTAGCGCCGCCATTTTGACTTTTTTGACCCCTGTGACGTCATCTTTGACCTGACCTGAAAATGACCTTTGTAAAAATTGTAGATCTTGGCCGTGCGTATCCGATGCCGTTTACCGCTTGTCGCTATCTTGCTTCGTTCTCGAGATCTCAGGGGGGGGCGGTCATCCGCCCCCCCCCCCGTCGGTGCGAAGTTGGCGCAGACCCCCGTCGGTGCGCGGGTTAAGAGCCACTTATTCTTAGATCATGTCGCGCGCAAAATGTTATCAGTCATCAATCATAAAGACGAATAATATCCTGCTAGATCCACCACCTTAGATCACAATACCTCGGCACCAGAAGATATTCCGCAATCGTGGCAGCGAATCAGCCAAATATCATTTTAGACGCATCCCCGCAGACCCCACCCACTGATGTCTGTGGGCATTCCCTAAAATTGTCTCATTTTCACCCCACCACCCAATCCCCCGCCGGCTACGGTCGCCGTTTCCGGCGCCTCCTCTCACCGGTATTTGGGACGAGTCTCTGCGAAATATGACCTCGTCCAGGTCACCGCAGTTGTAGTGCCTGATGAGGTCCTCGGTGGTGTACAGGGGAGTCTCCTCCCCAGCGCGGATACTCTCGTGCTGGTTCAGAGTCTGGTTTAGCGCAAACACCACCTGAAAACGGGCAGAAAAACACTGCATCAATGCACTCGCACAGCAAAGATAGGTGTAGGATATAGAATAGGTGTATAAGCTGTGAAAGAGATAAGAAATAATGACGAAATATAGCTCAATCATTCGTGACACTTTGTTGAAATAGCATGCTGTTAATATGTTGTGCAGTGTTGATTATGTGAGTTGAAACCGGACAAATAAATGCACCACATTGCAACGCATCACGTTCTGTGACGTATCCAACGAGCATTATTCAACCAAGCTCAGGAGCAGTGCATCTAAAGCTCCCATCTTCATCAGAGGGTCTGGCATGTTCAACAAAATAAATACCCATCTCTGTCTCTGTTAGGACTGCTGTTGTTGCAGCGATGCCACATCTGACGGGCATGTGACATTTCTATTAGCGTGAATCACAACCGGGGTGCCCACCACCGGGACATCAGGTGGAAAGGCATATATGGGAGCGGCGTAATGAGCTCATGTGTCTACCCACTCCTACCGAGCCTGTTTGGAGTGTGAGACCCGGTGCGGCTGTAGCTCACGACTGCCGTCTGGCGATGTAGCCCTCCCGCACCACACCGTTCACCGCCCGGCGGTCAGCCGGACCGGACCGGGGCGCTGCAGAGTGCACGGTCTGCCCGGCCCATCAGCCCGCTATGACCGCCCCGGGCGCACACCGAACTGGCCATCAGAGAGGCCCCGGGCGGCGCGCCGATGGATCAGAACCGACCGCTAACGACCGGCAACGAGACTGGCCGCAGGCAGCCCCGGGCGCCGCGCAGAGCGAGGCAGCGGTCTCAGCCAGCGCAGAGGGTCTCGACTCACCGCAACTCACCGCCGCTCACCTCATCTAATCTCACAGGAAAGCGGTACACAGACACAGCCGAAAATAGCCCGGGCGGTGCGGAGGTAGCCATCCACCGCATGTTTCATTGCGCGGCGGTGATGTTCGCCGAGTAAGTCAAAACAAAGAGTGCCGACTAATCACCGGCTAATGACTCCGTCGTCATCAGCCAGTGGCGTGCACGAGGAGAGATTGGAGCCGGCGTGTAAAGGCACGGCGCTGTGACCTCCCAGGTCCCTGAACAGTCAGCCGGGCAAAACCGGCAGGGAGGCGGGAATATACGGCGGAAATGGAACATTTGGTGGAAGTGAAAATAGAGCAATGATGATGTAGCTAGGGTGAAAATGCTTCCATGTTTTCAAAGTTGTTGATAAGGGTTACAGTTTTACATTCATGTACAACATTACTTTTAATGAGCTTTCTATGTTCATTCGAGCGACGCAAATTACCGATATGCATCGAATCATAAAATCGATAGAAGTTCATCGATTGACCGCCTTAGATACAATAATTGATCAACACACGGCTGCGCCAACTGAACTGATCCCATGGCCAGACAATCGCTCAGCACCACACTGTGGCCGGATGAAGCGGCCGGAAACACACAGCGAAACCAAACAATCGCCTCTCGGCACGACGTAAATCACGGGAGACAGTTGGACTGGCGCCGGGCCGCCGCTGTCACATTTATCAACAGCGCCGCTTTCTGTCGCCCCACTGTTTAAAACACAGACATAAACGCAGACTTCCCGGGAAGAAACGCCCGGCCGCACCGCAAGTGCGCTAATGCCGCCAGAAATCACCAAATCACCGGCATTCTGGAGGCTGATAATTAAATGATATGGACTGCTCAATTCCTTTGATAATACCGGCCTCGGCATAGTGACCTATAAATCGTAAAATGTCAAGATATAATATTTGGGCATCTGGGATGTATTGTTAATCTAAAATAGCAATGGAGGTGAGCACGGCGTCGAAGGGAACTTAACTGATATAGCGTATAGTGTATACGGGAAATTGTGACTGCCATGCATTCAACTTTAAAACAGCTGCTTTATTGAACCATGCCATTATCTCTCAAGTGAACAGATAGATGAATTATTGCGAACCACAATACAATGTGCGCCGAGAAGAAAACAATTGCCTCACATATCTTATCTAGTACGGTTTCTTGTCCCCGGAACCATCAATGCTCCGTTTCAAAAACAATTACGAAACGTCACTCACCCAGAACAAAGTCTCTGTTTTTCTGTTTTCGGGGTTCTCCACGAAGTGTTTCTATCTCATACCCTTGAAAATCGGCACGAACACCATCGCACCGGTCGCCAGAGGGCACGAGCCAGAAGCGACCGTCACCATAGCTACCTCTAATCCAACACCTCAGCCGGGATATCGGCTCCAAATGGGCCCATCTGATTGTCGACAGTAATCCCGTGAAAATCCCCTCCGACTGGACGTGCGTCAATTCGCCTCCCTGACGAGATCAGGAGGACTCAGAGCCTGAGCGGACGAGATAGGCGAGATCGGAGCGAGCGAGGGGACAGGAATCGGACACAGACCAGAAGCGAACCTGCGCAGACAGGGAGATCAAAGAATCCATACAGATCGCATCAAGTCCAAACGGAAGCATCTAGGAAGGACTAATTCTTGGTCTATTGCCCCTGCGCTAGACCGTTCTGCAACATCCTCATGCCGTCCGTGGTTCATCATCCCTGCCAAAGGATGTTCCGCCAATCGGAGGCAGAATCTGACGGACCCAGTCAGACACGCGCGCCGCGCCGGAAGTGCGGATTAGGCAGAGGCCCAGGGACAAATGAAGAGAGCTGAGGGATGGGCGGGAAGGGAGAGGGAAAGAACGTCGAGTTGCCGAAACCACGACGTGCCAGCACGAGTGAAATGCCAAGGAGCATGGATAGATGTTTGGTTAATCATCATGGCATATATCGGCGGATGAAAAGAAAAGAAAAACATTGCTTGGGTCTTTCCTTTAGGTATTCATATGATCGCCTGATGTGATGCGCTGCCGTCCACACAACCACAGTGAGTTGCGCACACGAGTCCGTAGCAGTGGGAGCTCACCACCGCAGACCGCCGACCTCGCCGGTACTCTCATCATCGCTGTGTAAACATCCTGTGCTTGAACTGGCGCGGGCGCGAGGAGGGGCACGCAGAATTCCAGACGGTCCTCGTCATACCATCCTCAGGGGATATTCAACATGTCAATACATCTCCAGACATTCCTATCATTTCCCGGTGACCTGCGAACATTCCAAGTCGCCTTAGACATCTTCAAGGAAACGGTGTGCGTCTGCGGCAGCTTTGGCTCGTCTGTCATCTCATTCCCATCGCCGCCATCGCCACCATCACCGCCATCGGGTCATCGGTGCATCTCTAACAAGTCTGCCATCGCGCCTCCTCTGCGCCCGTTCCAAGAGCAACAGGCAGCGCCGGGGTGGCGGTGGCCGTTCTCCCTTATCAGCCCAATCAGGCAGTCTGTGCAGACGGGTCGGGCCGGGCCGTGTGCCGCTCGAGATCAGCTCCGATCGCAGTGCGAACACTACCGCGGAACGTTGCCACTTGCCAGCTCGGCCGGCTATCGGGCCCACATCGGACCGGATCGGCGCGTGTCTGGCGGCCCATCGTGTGTCCCTCCTCACACAATGCGCAGAGGTCAACCGCCAGGGCAGTGCTCCAAAAAGGCTGGAGTTCGTATAGCTCAGCGTGGACTCACGGCCAACAAAAGTGTAGGAGTCTGCGTTCGGACTAGGAGGCAAAGTCGAACAAAGCTGGAGATTAGAATATAAATGTCCTACTGATCCTACTCATCTGATGAGGAGGACATCAAAATGAAATCGGGCATGTTAATATGCGGCAAGTGGCAAGCAGCCGACAGGCGTTAAGCTGTTCTATCGGCCAGACGGATGATGCCTGATGTTTTCATTTTTCAAACCCGCTATCATCTCAGTCATTGCAAATACCTCTAGACACAACTCAACAGGAATTGAGACAACTACACAATAGTTAACGATCATTTAGAGGCATCAGAAAAATCTTGTATACAGTCGGAGAGATGATGAAATCCCAATCATTGGCGATAAATTCAAAATATTGATTCATAAAAATAAGCTAAAAAATGTCATGTAGTTGCATGGTCTGAGCCGCAGGTATAGACAATATCCTGTTGCTAATTGATTTGCTATTTTTACTGAATGAGCTGGTAATTCAATATCGTTCTTAGTTTACACACAAACTTTAAATCTGCCGACTTGCAGTCCGGGTACTTTTTATAATGGTTTCATGACGCCTCATATCTGAGACAAGCACTAGCGACAGGGCAGACCAGCTTGCATGGCTGCGTCCTCGGCGTGGCCGCTCAGCGGTTCCATATATGACGGTGGCCGTGGGTGTGCTTTGAATAGTGACCTCATGACGACAGGGTTTGGAGAATTTCCTTCACAGAGCCAGCGTCGCCAGTTTTCCTGACAGTCTGTATCATTTTGTGGCGTGGATTGGTCCCGGACCACTGGCTTTATAACGCTGTTTGTGTCACTCGCGTGCTAGTTTTGCTATCGATTATGGGGCTGAATTTCCGCGGACCATGTTTCTGTCAAAGCTGCAACACCCGGCCTCATGAATGTCACCGATATTTCGTCCGTTCTGGGAGCAGCTGCGACCGCTGCAACACGGTCGCTGCTGGTCCGACAGATCCGCGATTCACCTCTGAATGCGCCACTCGAGGGATGAATGTGCCAAAAGGTGGCATGTGTCATTACCACGGCCAACAACTGATCGCACTTCGCTAATAATTTTCCCAAGAAAAACATCGAAAGGAATTCTTATTGGCCAAGTGTTACAATAAATCCTTTGTCAAAACATTGATAAAGCCTTTGAGACTTCATGCGAGCTGAGAGATAAATACAAATGACTCATTTCTATCTCAGGCCGGATCAAAGCGTTTATTATGATTACAAACATTGCATCTATCGTCTCCGAAGCGAGTTTCGGGCTGCACTTTAAACAATAAACACAAACAAGCAATTAGCAACACATCAAAGAGATAGGCAATGCCCATTGCCGATACCAAATACTTCGCTGAGCAAATCAAAATTTCAAAGATTATGATTTATTGTAAATAGTGATCCCGTGGATAATGTAC